TTTTTTGTCAAATATAACCGTTGTTAATATGAAGAACACAAAGTTTCTACGCATTGCGAATTTTCTTTTGCTGATAAGAATTTCGAACAATATAGTTTATCTTGTAAGACATTCGTATGACGATGAAAAGAACATAAAATTTGCTCTCTTGAAAGAAAGTAATAGCGATATTTGAATATGAGTATATGCAGAATTTTTTTTCGTTCTCTTCATCTACTGACTCATTTCGAACACCGTCGTATATATATTACAACCTCAATGTGTCTTATCAACAGAGCAGCACAGTCATATAGTGTGTGAGTGTGAGGTGGATGATCTACAATCTTATACACACTCACTCATCTGGTAAGATATTCAAATTAGAAAAGAGGTTCAATGAGATGAACAATAAGAGTAATCACATCAGTATTTATATATTGTATATTTCAACATTTATCACTAACAATATACCATCACAGCTAGACTAATAGTTTAATTCTACAAACAACATCAAGTGTAAATATAAACATTGAAAAAAAAGAATTTTTGTTGAGTATATGTAATTACTTAAGTGACATTTGCTGCAATTTATGCAATACATCATATTTATTATACCATGCAGATGCATGAGTAATCATGAATCATGAATTTGTTTCTTTCCTGTTCATTATTGTAAGTAACACATTTTGCCACGTTTCAATATTTGTCTTGTTGTCAATAAACTAATATAATCACATCATTTTATTGACGACGAATAACACCAACGGTCCGTTATAAATTTATCAAAAACTATGGGCCTCGTATCAGCATTATATAGAGCATCCTTGTCTATTGTTCCTATATTTACTATTCTGATTGGTGCATCAACTACATCATTATTTTTGAGTATTACAAAATATAATGAATGTCCACTGGAGCCTCTTCTTCCTCTGAGTCTTCTTGTTTTTGGGCTTATAGGCTCAATGTGTAGCATCTTTGCTTTTATTTTCGTGAGTAGTTTATTTTTTCAATCTTCAAAAGCAATTAATAGACTAACTATAGATAGTGCTAGCAATTTTCAAAGGGTATGATTTCGATGCACACTTGTCATATTTATTGATTCCGATAATACCAGCCATCGTTTACGGTATTAGTGCTACTATATTGGCATGTATTGTAAGTAAAATATAATCAAATTTTATTTCTATGCACGTACTAATTTAGATTGCTTTCACGCGTGGAACAGAAAACACAGCAGATTCGAAGTCAGTCTGTTATGAATCGATTTACAATTTCTGTGATGTTTTTGCAACAATTGTAATTCCATTAGCATTGACATTTACAATTTGGTTTGCTCGATCATTAGTAATATGATACCTACCAAGAAAATGGTTCACATTAAAAAGCAGTTTTTGTTACTGTTGCTATATCTTTTTTTAATCTATCAAAACGTTTTTATCTATTTCAATCGACTGAAAAATTCATCGGAATAAGAAAATACGAAGAGACATACAACGTTGAAAGAATATTATTGTATATATCATATCATATCAGTTAACAATTCCGATGCGACCAATCAAATAAAACACTAAGTATGAACATATTTGAACAATTCTATAAACAATAAAAACACACTTCAAATTATTGTTATTGAATTAAGATCTAATTTTTTATTTGTAAGAGTAATAGACAAACAAACAGATTGAAGAAGAACATAGATAATAAGTATATGCTATTTTTAAGTAACACACAAAACAATTAACGCTTGATTATGAAATAATATTTAGAAACTTTAATAAGCAAGATCGAAGCTGAAGATTTCAGTCGAACTACCAAGCATTGCTGTCGTACTTTTTATATTTCGTTAAGATCCAGTGTTGTCCAAGATGATTGGCAGCGGTTTTTGACATTATGGGTTTGCTGAACAAGGCCGCATTAGCTGGAACGTCTAAAGCCATGTTAGGACCTGAAAAATCATTTGTTATTCTAAATGATCCATCAGATAAAGGCGTTAAATGCCAATATTGCTCTGAGACATTAGCCGGTTTAGTGAAGCGTAGTTTATTCTTCATTTTATCCTTAATGACATAAAGTGCAGTTGTTTTACCGAAATCAGTATGTTGTATGCTGTATTTGTTGTCACTTAAACGAACTAAGTGCATATCTAGATTGGAGTAGCGACCAATACTATCCAACTTGATGCCAGGTTCGTTCCCTTCATTGAAGGTGATACTTAATGTAAGATTCATACCTGCATATTTACTCGTCACTCTATAAACATAAGATTTGTCAATTCCAAATCGATCTATTTGGTGCTCAGCACCTTTAACATATCCATCAAGACCTAAAACAAACAAAAACTTTTAAATTTTTTCTGTTGAAGTTGAATTACACTGAAGTAGAAAATTGCATTAAACTATATCCCTATTTCATATATAAACTCAAACACCTCGGGTGTTTTGCGTATCACTTAACATCAAACCTAAAAAATTTCTAAACATACGTTTTGTACTACTCACCAACAACAGGAGTAAGATCCACTTGTAAGAATGGAAATAACATGAATACAATCAACCATCGCGAACACATTGTTTGAATAAAATGTAACGATTTGATATGTTTTGTTTAATATTTTTTCGACTGATTCATTTGTCTAGATAGCACATTTATTTATAGGGGAAGGAAAAATTTTAAACAATGGATTTATCATGAGAAGGCTGTTAATTGATAATTCACATATCTTTCTAACCCAATTAGATATGCATTTTGTGTGTTTTTCTTCGTGTGAATAATACAAGCTGTGAACTGACACTAAATGGTTAGTTGGATTGTTCTTGAACATCTATAAGACATGCACTAATACATTGAGAAAATACGCTTTCTGTAAGAAGAGAAAACGAAAAGATTAATATCGAGCGTGTGAATGATATAGAATACATACATCTATCCTCAACATGAATTTATATGCAATTCATACATTTTTCCAGAATTCAATCTTCGAAGTTACACTTAAAATCATTCTTACACGAAACTACGATATTTAAATTTTAAAATTCGAACACGATGAGACTAATTTCTGAATGAAATAATAAAATGGTGAAGAAATTTTTACGTTTTTTTATTAATAATTAAATATTTATAAGAAATATCGACAAATAAAGCAACGGAATATGAAAAAAGTGTGTCGTATCTGACTTGATGTTTGATCATCATTGAATTCAGTTATTAATAAAATAGAAATATTCATAGGTTCAATTGGATCGTCGTGACATGGTGATAACAAGATCTAAACTACAAGCCAATGTGCAGGCGTGGGTGTGGCTCCGACTACTTTCTTGAGCGCTCACAGCCACAGCCACACCCTGAATCAATTTCTCACTAGGTCTCTCGGGCAAAATACTGCTCACTGATGGACGCTTTCAAGGCGACAAAAACAGTATATTTGGAATTTTTCCCTGATATTTCGAGATCAACGAAAAATGCCATATAGGTAGTTTTGTAGAGTAAGTGAAATTCTATCGACTGGTATATGATTCAATTTGATTAGAGGAGAACTTATATGAAAACAAATTCAGAAAACAAAAGAACTCGATTTTGTTCATTTTTTTAGGTCATTTTTGGGGGTGGTATGATTGGATATACCTTAACTCTCTTAAAGTAACTCTATAGGCCGTAACATTTTAGATTCATATATGGGTCAATAATGCCAAAGTTCGTATCAGGTCAGATCTAGAATCTGTTAACACACATGTTCTGTCATATATCAAAAATCCTTGGTTGCTCGTGGATCGTCTCCTACGTATGAACATATTTGAACAATTCTATAAACTACTAGACGCAGTTAAAACTATTGTTGTTGTTGAATTAAGATCTAAGTTTTTATATTTAAGATTAATAAGCAAACAAATAGATTGAAGAAGAACATAGATATTAAGTATATGCTATTTTTAACTAACACAAAAAACAATTAACGCTTGTTTATGAAATAGTATTTAGAAAGTTTAATGAGCAAGAGCAAAGCTGAAAGTTTCGGCAGAATGATCAACCACTGGTGAACTTTTACACTTTTGTAAGCATCCAGTGTTGTCCAAGATGATTGGCAGCGATTTTTGACATTATATGTTTGCGCGTGCCATCTTGATCTTGAACATCTAAAGCCATGTTAGGACCTGAAAAATCATTCGTTAATCTAAATGATCCATCAGATAAAGGCGTTAAATGCCAATACTGTCCTGAGACATCAGCTGTTTTACTCAGATGTAGTTTATTCTTCATTTTATCGTTAACGATATCAAGTGCCTTTGTATGGCCGAAATCAGTATGTTGTATATTGTATTTGTTGTCGCTCAAACGAACTAAGCGCCAGTTTTCATTGGTAAAGCCATTAATTCGATCCAATCCAACGCCAGGTTCGTTGCTAGCAGGGAAAAGCACCTTTAATGTAAGATTCAAACTCGAATATTTACTCGTCACCCTGTAATCATAAGATTTGTCGATTCAAAACCGATCTACTTGGTTATTATGACCTAAAATAAACTAAAACTTTCAAACTTTCCTCTTCTAGTACATGTCATATTTTATATTGTTTTCACTTAAAGCTGAAATACACTGAAAGAGAAAACTGCAAACTAAATTCCTGTCGATAATTCAAACAGGAGAATGCATCCTATTCCGCGATGTTGAACATTGGAGGAATCAGTTCCGCACCGGAATCGATTCCGTCCAATTCCGGGAACTCGATCGACACACAACATAAGACACCCAGTCAAGATTGATCGAGTTCGACCGATTCCGGAATTGCACGGAATTCCCACCGATTCCGGAACTGCACGGAATTCCTACCGATTCCGGAATTGCGGGAATTGGTTCCGATTCCGGAATTCCGTACCGGAATCACACCATCCACCTCACCCACATTTGTTGTGTTGTGTTGACAAGTTATCCCGTTTGGATACGATCTAATTCCGTTACGGAATTCCGGG